TGTGTTACTACAGCGTGTCCAAGGTTCTGTTACTACAGCGTGTCCAAGGTGTGTTACTACAGCGTGTCCAAGGTTCTGTTACTACAGCGTGTCCAAGGTGTGTTACTACAGCGTGTCCAAGGCTGTGTCATTACATTGTGGTTTCCAGCTGTTGCTTTGCCTCCTTCCCCCCTTTGTAAATATGGTTGACACCGAGTCTCACTCTTCCTCTGTCATAATTTTAGGGCTGGAGGAGCCGACCTCCAGCTGAGACGGCACAGCCAGAAGGCTCACCCCGGTCTGGTGCCCGGGCCTCGCCCTCTTCCGGCCACGCCGGGCCCTGTCCCCACTGGATGAATGAAATGAAAGCGTGTGACCACCTACCCACACACCTTGGCAGAGGTGCACTCCACACACGGCGGCCCCCGCCCAGGCAGGTCAGCTTGGTGGCACCTTCTAGGCGATACCCCGGGAAGCAGGAGAAGGTCAGCGAGTCCCCGACTCCGAAGTGGAAACCGATCCTCCGGCTGAAGGCGGGGACGCCAGGGTCCTCACAGGGCTCCAGGTCATACTCTGAGACATGAAGAGAGAGCAGGTTTGTGGGAATTTGGGTAAATACTCGAAAGTTATTCAGAAGACAGAGAACTGCTGTTACTAAAAATGAGTCAGTACATCATTAGGGTCTCACAAACGCTGCTCTCACTCTCAGGTGCACCATTTTCTTTACTGTGAGCTCTCTGATAGCAAATGGCACCAATCTTAGTACTTTTTACACAGACATAAAATAAAATAAAATGACCATTTCAAAACTGTCACTTTAACAGTGTGAAATTATTTTACTATTTCTAAGTGTCACCCATTTATTTTCTGTCACCCACTTATCTGTAATCGCATACACCCCACACAACCATACACATGCATACCTATCCCCCCCCATGCTCGTACACAACCACACACACAGCTGCACACAAACACGCCCACGCAGCACTGCTGTTGCGAGCAGCGGATGAGCCCAACGTACCCGAGAAGGTGATGTTGAAGCCCTCGTAGGAAATGGAGAAGTCAGATATGAACCGCAGCTGGGCGGTGAAGTTCCCGAACAGACCGGCCTTAATCGTGTGGGGCAGCACCGAGCCCGTGAGCCGGGCCACGGGCTCCGAGAAGCTCCCGTCCTCCGTGACCAGCAGGTAGTCGTGAGAACTCTCCAGGTGGAAGGTGTGGAACATCATCTGCACCCCTGAGAGACGAGGGAGAGAGACAGAGGGGGGGTGAGAACAGCTGCTGAACAAATGAGTGCTTCTGGGCCTGAGGACATCAGTCTTGAATCAAAATTTAACCTTAACATGCAAACCTAACTTTGAAGTTTGAAAAGAAAATACAGACAATGGGTGGAGAGGGAGTGGCATTAGAAATGAAAGAAGTAATTGGAATAAACAGCGAAAATGAATGAATGTTTGAGAATATATAAGTATAGATGTAGACGTAGGTGTAGATACAGACACAGGTATAGATATACAGGGCGTCCCCCCAAAATGTATACACATTTTAACAGCTGAGAGCTCAATGTTGAAAATGAAATGCATGTTCGTAAGCACTGCCTTTATAATTATTCAAAGTGTGGGTTTGCATTTTTGGGGCACCCTACAGATAGAGATGTAAATACAGATACAGGTACAGATGTAGATACAGATATAGACATAGAGTCGGAGGTGCAGATTCAGATGTGTGGTCAGGGGTGGAGGCAGAGGAGGAGTTTGCCAGGATCTGACAACGGGCTACGTGCAGAAATGGTCACTAGGCCCTTAAGCAGAGCACTTGAAACAAAGGACTGGAGAACTTTCCCACTTATATTAAATAGATGTCCTTTATGAAGTCTTAGCTTGGAGTCCGGCACATGAGCTCACGCGCCCGAGGGGTACGTCTTCGGAATCACAGTTTATGTGCCCTCAACGCACACGCTCTCCTATTAGCTGTACCCACAAAACACTGTTTCTGGGTTCCCAGAGCCAAATAAATAAAATGAGCTATGGACATGTTCTTTTTAATAAAAATACTTATATTTATGATGACATTCATAATATTTTTCTTTTTTATTCTTAATTTTCTTCCAGGCCCAACCCTTTTTAACATATATCCATGAGGACATATTGCAGCTCAGCACATGCAATAAAATGTCGATTTAACTCAAGCAGGTTCAGGTCTAAGCAGAAAGAAAAAGTCTACATGATATTTATGTGATCAAATCTCCAGATTATTTTGTTAAAAATGACAAGTTTAGACGTTCAAAAAATAAACAAAACCATGACACGTTGCTAAATCAAATGTGCATAAACCGCATTTCTTGTACAAAGTAAACATTTTCTGGTCTTCACTCGACTTGTCTCTAAAGTGAGGACAATGTGAGCTGCCCAGGGGTCATCCGTGGATAGCGTGACGTGACTTGTACGTGTCACTGTTCCGGGTAACGAGGCAGCACAGATGGGATCCTAGACCCACTGCGGACATTAGAGGCTCAGACCATTTCTTCTTAGTTCCTTTTATTTAATCAGCATCCACATATTATACAATCTATGCCTCTTTTTCTTGCCTTTATACTAATTTTCAAGCTTACGCTCACGCGTGTAAGACCAGCTTATCCGATAAACAGAGAGTAAAACAAGAAATCTACTTTTGCTTGTAGCACTAACCATTTACAGACCATAGTTCTTCTAAAGTCTTATAAAAACATAAAAATTAACAGATAAACTGCGTACGATGAAATCTCTTATCTCATACGTTAATACTTTCTCTTTTTTTTCCATGTTTCCATCTTGTCCATTACTGTGTGTGTTGGGAATTCATGTCATATCCTCACCTTTTCCATGAGACACCTCAATGGTCCACGTGCAGTTGAGAGAGTTTGGGTAAAAGTCTGGGAACCCGGGAGAAAGGACTGTTCCACTCTTTCCATGGGTGTAGCCTCCACAGAGGGCTTAAAATAATAAGGAATCATTATTATAGTACTCGTTTCACAATGGCTGCTGGAATAAAACACATTTAAAGTGACATTTCATTTGCCAAGGACTGAAAGATTATCTAATATCGCCCCCATGAAAATGAAAACAAATCCAAAACTTTATTTTACTCATAATTATAACATGCTAGCTCATACACAGGTGTCCTAAATAGTACAAAACCTAGAAAAAGAACACAGGAAGCATAGCAGCTACAGCAGAAACTTCCTCTGATGGTAAATTTAAGGATCAACTTGACCGGGGAGCCTAAACTCTTGGTCTAACACTATTCTGGGTGTGTGTGAAGGTGCTTTTAGATGCGATTAACATTGAGTCGGTAGATGGAGTAAAGCAGATTGCCCTCCCTGATGTGGGTGGGCCTCATTCAATCAGTTGAAGGACTGAAAGAACAAAAGGCTGAACCTCCTGCAAGTAAGATTAAATTTCTCTTGCCTGACGGACTTCTGACCGGGACATTGTCGTATTTCCTGCCTTCAGATTGAACGGAAACGTGGGCTATTTCTGAGTCTCGAGCCGACCAGCCTTAAGCCTATGCCATTGCTCTCCTGGGTCTCCAGCTAGCTGACTGCGTATCTCAGAACCTGACAGTCTCCATAGTGGCTGAGCCAATCCCTTATATGTCTCTCTCTCTCCCCGGATATGTACATATACACACATCCCACTGCTTGTTTCTCTAGAGAACCCCGACATTCACAGTTAGAGCTTCAGAAATGGGGCAGGTTTGCATTTTTTAAAGCTGCCCATCTTTTTGTATATTTTTATTTTATTTTAATATGTTTTAATTGGTTTTTAGAGAGAGGAAGGGAGAGAGAGAGGACGTCAATGGATGTATGGTCCTGGGTCAGAGGAAATTGAGGCTGATGATGTAGAATCTGCCTATTTACGAGTGTCTCGCGTGCTTTCTTCAATAGACGCTGTGCACAAGGGTATGTGTACAACTCAGCCATGTGTGTTTGAGTGTTTGGGGATATCGTTGAAGGACAGCCCATAATTTTTCATGCTTCATTTCCGAATCCATGCTCTACCCACTAGAAACAATGTGCTAGGTAAATGCCACATGTTAAATAGCGACAGGCTTGCCCTGGCTGGTGTGGCTAAGTGGTTGGAGTTTGGCCCACGTACCAAAGGGTCTCGGGTTTGATTCCTGATCAAGGGCATGTACCCGGGTGGTAGGTTCTACCCCCGACCCCGTTTGGGGCGAGTGCAGGAGGCAACCGATCCGTGCGTCTCCCTGGCACTGACGTTTCTCTCTCTCCCTCTCTCCCTTCGACTCTCTCTGAGCAGCAATGGAGAGAATATCCTTTGGTGAGAATCAGCAAACAAACAAACAAATGAAAAATAAAAAAGAAAACCTGGCTTCAAAATAAATCAATAAAGAATAAACAAACAGGGACAGTATTTTGAGGGGCACCCATCAAACAGAAATCCCACTTTGCTCCTATTATATCTGCCACCTCCTGAAACCCCCCATCCGGGCGGCGGAAACGCTCGGGCGCCTCCCCATCGCCCGCGGTGGGCTCCGCTGGGCCCGCCTACCGTCGCAGCTGGGCAGCGCGTGGTTCCACTGGTGGTTCCTCTCGCAGACGAGGGGCTCGTCGTCGCTGAGCGTGTACCCGGGGTCGCAGCTGAAGGTCACCGTCGACCGGACGCCGAAGGTGTCGCCATGCCGACGGCCGTTCACCGGGATGCCGGGGTCCAGGCAGGAGTCCGACTCCAGCGTCACACCTGGACCGGCCCAGAGCAGGGCGTTACTATTCTGCGCCCGCGCATCCCAGAACCGCCCTAAATATACCCGTTCCTGGTTTATGGAGAAGCTATCCGGGCCGTTGTACCTGTGGAGTGTCCCCAGGCATAGTCAGCCCTGGAAAATCACGCAATAAATTCAATAATCTGTTCATGTGAAAATACATCTTCAAATACCTCTCCGTGTTATTCAAGAGACAGGTGACGTCAGCTGCTTCCAGCTGATACCTCGCGGCGCAAGCGTGACTCGCCCACCGGCCTCGCTGACCTGCTTCCCCCATTTGAAAACCATCGACGACGCACTAAATAAATAAGCCTAAGCCGTGCCTCCGTTTCTCGTCCATCCCTGCCGCCCTCCCCCTTCCAGCGGTGCTGCGGGAGCCCGGGTCCAGCCCTTGTGCGCAGGCCCCACGCCCAGGCCGCCACGGGAGGCGCATTAAGCTGGAGGCGCCCCGGTGGGTTTCCCAAAACCGCTCCCCAGGAATCGGCACCTCGTGCTCAGACCCGCACCCGAGTCATCACTTCCAAGGTGCCGACAACGAGCCTTTGAAAAGATGCTGACAGCGAGGTGCTGCGTGCAGTCCCCCGATCACGATCGCGTCGGGACAGCCGGTTCTTTTCCCTCCCTGACATTTCTCTTCCTTTTTAGAAGAGTGTACACTTTCAAAATACGGGAAATGGGAAGAGCAGAGCATTAGGATGTTTACGAATGAGAATAAGTGGAAAGATGTTACCCCTACACGGACCTCACTGCAGGTTCAGAGCTTTACAATGATGACCTGAAATACTCATCGGAAATCTTAAATTATCACCAATATTCAGACTGTCCCATCTGCCCCCAGGGGTCTTTGGGTTAATATTTCTTTATTTTTCAATTCTCACCTGAGAATANGGCTAAGCCAGTCCATCGAGTAGGGAGGTGACAGTGGGAGAGAGGGAGGAGCTCTGCTGGTGACAAGGACGGGCGGAGAGAGGCAGAGGCAGAGGCAGGAGAGTTGGGGTTCGCAGAGAATCACTCCCTGCTGCCAGGTGTAGCAGCGCAAGAGGGAAGGGAGCTTAAGGGGTGGTGCCGTGGAGGACAAGTCGGATCGCCTTCAAGGGCGACGAGTAAAAGTTGGGTTTCTTTTTGAAATTATTATTATTGTTGTTGTTATTTTAATCCTCACCCAAGGACATTTTCTCCATTGCTTTTCAGAGAGAGTAGAAGGGGGAGAGAGAGAGAAGCACTGGTGTGTGAGGGAGACATCCGCTGGTTGCCTCCTGCACACACGTGCCCGACTAGGACCGAACCTGCAGCCAAGGTACATGCCCTCGTCCAGAATTGAACCCAGGACCCTCAGGCTGCTGGCTGATGCTCTAACCACAGAGCCAAAGCGGCTGGGGCTGGGCTAACATTTCTAAGTGTTGCATATATTGTATTAAAGTTTGAGTGAAGGGCCTTATGGAGATGCCTGCCTTTATTAAGTCAAGTGCCTGAAATGCAGCTAAGGGGTGATGTTTTAGAACGAATAACGGGGTGATGTTTCTTGGTTAGCGTAGCAACAAGCGACTCATCAGGCTCAGGAACACAAGCAGGGCCCCCGGGTCACGATTCAACACTGTCGTCAGGGATGCGAGACGGCTGCTCCTGGGGGGGACCCCTGAGCCTCGGGATTTCCTGAGCGCAGGGCGGGTCTGTGGTTCCAGGTGGAGCCCTGAGGCCACGCCTGATGGTTCACGTGCAGGGACAGAGACGGGACGGGACTCACTCTCGTAGCGGATGAGGAATCCCACGCTGGCCCGGCTGCTGTCCGTGGTAAAGAGCAGGCGCATGGAGTTCCCGGTGCTGATGAGGAACTGGGGGGCCTGGGTGCCCTGGTACTCGCCGATCAGCGGGGACGAGCTGGTCGGCCCATCCCGCACCTCCAGGGTGTCGTAGTTCACTTCTGTCTGGAACCTGGGGGGGGCATCGGTCAGGAGAGAGACCAGAAGCCACGTTAACTCACAGACACTCCTGTGATATCTTCATTCATTGATTAAAACCCCACGGGTGACAGAAATAAAACGCGTACAGTTCTGTACACGTATAAAAAATGCGGGCACCTGTAATATTTAAGAATGGGACATTTTCCTGAAAGGAAAGGTGCACCCACATCCCTCCCTCTCACTGAACACCCTGCCGGCAATGCAGACACAGCACCGTCCACCAGGTCAGCTCTCGTAAAATAAATAGATGGACAGATCAATAATCAGCAATTAGCGAAAATCACTTGGTTTGCATTTTCAGACGATTTTCGCCATCCCATTAGTATGATGATGGATACCCCAGAATGGGCAGCAGGGAGGTGAAAAGGTCTCTTAAAGAAAGGGGGCGATTCAATACTCTAAACTCCCCACAAAAGCAAAGCCCGTGCCTCTGAGGTCACATTAGCTCTCCCAGGATGAGAGGGGACCGAGCGCACTGCGGCTTCTGCAAAGAAACGCTACTTAACTGATGTGAGAAGTTAGAGCAGCTTCCAAAAGGGCTTAACTTTTCTTACGAGAAGAATATCACGTGTCCAGGGAATCGGGCCAGATACGGTATTTTTATTTTTTTTTTAATTTTTAAAAATTTTATACGTTTTTATTGATTTCAGAGAGAGGAAGAGAGAGAGAGAAACACCAATGATGAGAGAGCCATTGACCGGCTGCCTCCTGCACGCTCCCTGCTGGGGATCGAGCCCGAAACCCGGGCATGTGCCCTGACTGGGAATCGAACTGTGACCCCCTGGTTCATAGGTCGATGCTCAACCCCGGAGCCACCCGGCAGGGCAGGATCTGGTAATTTCACACAGTCGCAGCCACCTGGGTCCTCTTGGGGGCGATGACTGGGCTACTCAAGGCTCCGAGAGCATTTTCTACCTGGGCCCAGTGGTCCTCGCAGAGCCAACCCCGTGTCCGAGCGTCTGCTGTGCCCTCAGGGGGCAGCCGCCTCGTCGCGAGGCCCTGGTTCACTCGGGACTTGCAGACGAAGGCGTCCGCGAAGCCCAGGCTCTGCACTGACTGTCACGGGCTGGGGGGGGAGCTGTGTGCAGGACACTTAGCTCCACGGCAGGGACAACTAAAAGGTGCTGAGCCCCCAGTGATCGTCTATTTCCCTCAGTGCAGATGCACAATGAAATGTTCCTCCAACGCCCTTAGGCTGGGCCCCGGCCCCCAGGCCCCTATAAAGAGGCTTTAAGCACCGTGAGCGTCGCGTGGTTGGGCTGGAACTCAAGCCCAGAGGCTGGGCGCTTGGGTTGAACTGTGCAGTCTTGTCTTTCTCTGGTTAAATGTTCTCTAAGGTTTCTCAGAGATCTGAGTTCAAATTCAAAAGTCTGGATAAGCACAGAATAAACCTCCTTGGAAATATCTGCACAAAATTTCCCACGTGTTTCTTTAGCGACACCTAACGCTATCCCGATGATTACGGTAGTGCAAGGATTCATTCTCAGTATCATGGACACATAAACCAAATTATTCCCTTCCTTCTGCGAGATCATCCAGTGGAGACTGTTATTATCCTACCAAAAGTAAATAATAATATAAATCATACTTTCAAATACAAATAATCACTAAGACATAATGTGGCTCCTGCTCAGAATAATTCCTGCGAGGCTGTTATCACTGATTGTTAGAAAACTAGTGACAAACAGAAATAAAATAAGAACATGCATCTGCTTCGAGACATTATAATACTCTGAATATTAAACCCAGACTCATCAAGCCCAGGAGACGTCACTGTCAGAGAGACGCGGAGGCTGCTCGAAGGGGGAGCTTGAGACACAAAACTCGATGCTCCCTTAGATTTTAAAACATGTGGTTCATCCCAAAACATTTTTGGTTTATAATCTTCAACCTGATTTCATTCTTGAGACAAATGGTGAAATGTTTCATTATGAAAAATTCGATAGCATAATAGTTTTTTAGATCGTTAAATACATTATCAAATACCTATGCCAAGGGACACGCCAGTGATCTCACGGGCAGATAATTCACGGGCATTCACCTGCCGGGCCCTCCCCACGGCCGCCTCTGCCACCCGAGGCCGCGCCCAGTCACCTGCCGCCACCACGAGATGGGAGGGGCCGTTCCCTGTGCCTCCAGCCGCCTGAGGGTCTGAAGGAGGCGCCCGTCCAATCGCCCAGAGTGCGCCCCCCTGCAGGACCGAACCCCGGGTGGTCTCCAGGCCGGCAACCGGGAGAGCTGGGCAGCGGTGGGCTGGGCCCGAGGCTCCCACCAAAGGCCTGAAGGTTTGATTTCTGGTCAAGGGCATGTACCTGGGTTGCAGGTTCGATCCCTGGCCTTGATCAGGGTGGGTGCGGGAGGCAGCCAATCGATGTGTCTCTCACATGGATGCTTCTCTCTCCACCTCTCCATCTCCCTCCCTCCCTCCCCTCTCTCTAAAAGTCAGCGGAAAAAGTATCCTTGGGGGAGGGTTAGCGACAAAAATAACCTCACCAAGCCTGTGCCTTACTCCTACTTAAGCAAACTCCTTTGGGGGGACTATAAAGAACATGGTATTCCCAAGATTCCAGGCCCATTTAAGGAAAAACGTTGGGCATCCCTGGGTTGTTAGGTCCAAAATGCAGGAGAAAGGTTTTTTCCTTACCTATCGAAAGTGATTTTGATAGAGTGTCCTGGCTTCGCCTCGATGATCCATTCACAATTTAGGGAGTCTTTGTAATATCCTGGCCACCCGGGAGGCAGGATGACACCACTGGACGCGGTCAGGTGTCCGCCACACGGGGCTGAAGGGAGAGAGGGGTCGGCAGGTCACTGACCACGCGGAGCTGGACACACACCACACTCGAAGCAGGGAAGCGCTCTCCTGTGCTCGAGGCGTTAGTGTCTCCATGTGGGTTCAATTACGTGCCCTCCAAAATTCATATTTTGAATTTCTAACCCCAAACCTCTGAATGTGACCTAACTTGGAAGTAAGGTCATCGACGATGGGATTAGTTAACAGGAGGGCGGGAGGGTGGCCCTGGTCCGACATGACCACTGTCCCTGGAGCGAGGGGACTTTGGGACAAGATGCATTCCCACGCGGAGGAAGGAACTCCGAAATCGCCAGGGAGCCCCCGAAGCTGGAGCGAGGCTGGGGCAGACCCCCCGCCCCCACGGCCCCGGCAGGATCTCAGCCCTGCGTCCAGGGTGGAGACACTGTGTCCCGTGTCTGAGCCCCGCCGTGCCGCCCGGGAACCACTGTGATCTGCTGGCTGGCGTCCGCCCGGCGGCTCAGGGGCGGCCGGGCGGGGCACCCACCCTCGCAGCGGGGCACGGCCGCGCTCCACACCACGTTCCCGTCCTGCAGGGTGCACGTGATGGACTCGGAGCCCTGTGTCTTCACAAAGCCGTCGTCACAGTGGAAGGAAACCGAGCTCCCCAGCAGGAACCGGTCCCCGAAGCGCTGCCCATTGACGGGGATGCCGGGGTCGTGGCACTCGTTCTGACCGAACGCTGAGAAACGGGAAAACACACTCAGATGTCACGTGTGTGTTAAACAGGAAACAACCCTCTTCCAGACCTATGTGCTGTCCTCAGTTCAGCCATCGCTTCACAGATCGATAGGTAAACACGGTACAGAAACAGGATGCCGGCTTATAGGGGGGGACGGAGGGGGGGACGGAGGGAGGCAGGGAGGAAGGGAGGCAGGGAGGGAGGAGCGCAGGCACAGCTGTCACCAGGGGCACCTAACGGCACCTCCAGTACCCCCAGACCCCCAGAGCAGCCGAGAGGAGCTGGGGGGGAAGGTCTGCGTTCAGACAGGTCCGGGGCAGAGTCCGGGTCTTGCGTCCGCTCCCCGCCCTGGGCAGGTGGCGCTGACCGTGGGAGCCTGGCCACCCTTCCTTACAGAACCAGGGACAGCAGGTCTGCGCCCAGAGTTGCTGTCCCGTCAAATGAGATAACTCCTGGCAAATGCTAAGCCCAGAGCCCGGGGGAGACAGCCAGTGGGCGTAGCTCGCATCTCACGCTGCAGTGCTCCCTCCCTCGACAGTGCCCGACCAGATGCTCTTAAGTGGAATCTATTTTGCAGGTGAGAAATCGGAGTTAAAGAAAAGTTAGCCGTCTCATCAAAATCCACTGGGCGCACCCGGGTGCTGGTGTCCTGGTCGGGGCTCCTGACCCCAAACCCTCAGCCCTGTGTCTACGCTGTTTATTTATTTATTGTTTTTGCACAGAGGGTGCAGAGGTGGGCAGATGAACC